TGTTAGCTTCAAAAAGCCTGATTATCACAATGTTGTTTGCGGGAAACTGATGACAACGGTAGACAACTGGTAGGGATGTAAAAGACCCAATTTCGCCGAACATGTTATTTCCAACTTTCGTTATCTATTTATAAAAAAGATACATGTCGGAAGATGTAATCAAGTTACACATCAATGGGTGCGACAAGCAAAAGCTCTGCCATGCTCAGCTTTCTTTTAACACAATTCGCCACGTAGCACAGATCGAAGAAATCAGTACAAACTCCGTTAGTCACTTTTGTTAAGCACACAAATCCGTTTTGCTATAACCCCTTTCGGTGGGTCACCCATTCATAACGTGCCTAAAATATATATATGAGATAGTTTCAGCTAGACATTTATTCGGTAGCGTTTGTAATTTCCAGCAGCGTGCTAATTTCTAATCGGAAATTACCTTTTTTCGGTACTTAGCTGCGGCACGCTATTCGTAAGCAGATGACAAGTGGGGGAAATCGTGTTGACCCTTAGACTGCCGACTAGAGCTATGCCGGTCAAAATATAACTCGAACATTCTATTCGCAAGCCGCCCGTGTATGCAATAGATACTAGCACTAGGCGAAACAATATCCGATAAACTAATTCTCATTCAAGTCTCCGACACCAACCGTCGTTGTAGTCAATCCAAACAAACAGTTATCCTTCGAGATTCATTAAACGTTTATCAAGATAGCTACTAATTATCACTAATCAGTACCGCCGTAGGCAGCCATCTAACGGTAGACGCTGTAGGGTTTACGCTACGTCTGTAGCCGGTACGGTACGTCGGACTCTTCAACTTGGCTGGTGCAGGACGGCTTAACCCGGGCTAGTCGTCTGCTGCATCCATCTGTCACACGCGTACTAATGCGACCTCATACACAATTTGATACAGATTGATAGATCAACACACAAAAATTTCCTACATTTCAATGAAACAAAAGAAAAACGATAGGAAATCTCATGAAAAATAATCGCTGTTTTTTCAACAATATTTATTGCATCCCAAAGTTCAAATTTAATCGCGTTCTATGCAAAAAAAACACGAGCGTCAACTGGCATTTAGGTAGGTCTGTCAATTTGAATATAGCAAAATCTGTTGGCAACTTATCGTATACGCGTTTAATTCGCCAGCAGAAGAACAGCAAAGAAATTGTTCCGTCTTCCTTTCAGCTAGCTCCTCTATTTTTGTTGACGGCATAAGAATTGATTATCAAGTGGGGCTTCTAGTACAGTGACTGCAGTGCCACTTCACCTGTATGGTTTCCTTCGCAAGTTTTCTAGCGCAAATGGCCGGAAGAAAAACGGAACACAACGTGGACAGGCGGAGGAGAGGAGGGGTCGCAGCTCAGCTGCGATGTTCAATAGTCTCCCATCATTTGTGCTGCTGCTCCAGTTGTCGTCGTCGTCATCATCGTTGATGAAACACCGAACAGCGTAAGAATACGTGTTGCAGCAACTCTCTCAGGGAGATAGAAAGAGTGTCCGGGTTGACGAGCCACTGGGATCAGCTTGGCCACGCTCTGGTCTGTACCAACAGGGATCATGGTGAGCGAGGACTATCTTCCTCTGATAAATCGATGAATAAAATTATCGTAAATAGAATCTGTGCACTTGGAAGACACCGGTCGGCACACAAATATACACGGACAAACTTTTCATTGCTTTCGCTCGTTCACTGGTGCCGATTTGAAAGGAGATACAACTGCGGTATCTACCGACAACAGCGGCAGTCGTCGAATGCTACGTTGTTGTCTAAAGCTTCGTTATCGTCATGAGCATCAGCAGCAGCACTAGTGATCACTGGTCATAGAAGCAAAGCTGCCGCATATATACAGCGGTAGCAACAGAATCGGAATAGCCTGCGTGCACCCGCACTGCCATCACGACGTTATTTAGATTTGTCAACTTAACGTTTTTATCAACATCGATTGGCCACCGTAGCGGCTGCGGCAGCCGGCCCGATCATGGTCGTCCCAATATTGAAGACGACATCCAGTCAGTCTCACAGGTACCCTCAACATTGATAGGCGGAATTCAGACTTATAGGAAAACACCTGGACAGAAATGTCGAATAGACATGCCAGTCAGACGAAAACAGTTCAGAGTGACGGAGATATTCACCTAGAGGGAGCCGCTCGGAGACATACAGAATCGACCGTTCGGTAGCCAACCCATCGCCGGTGGACCGCCACGCTGTGTTGACATCTAATTTCTTCGAAACGTATACAGAGGAAAGGAGGCGCGGGCAACAAACACGTTGAGCTCTATAAGACAGATATGTAAATACTAGTAGGTATCGATATCGATGCTGAGATCCATTTTAGACTTTTGATTAAGGCTACGCATCGGTTCGATCGTGTATGTATGTAAAGACGTATTTTCACCGTCACTATTGTTATTAATGCTGTTGCATTTGTCGTCGGACAGAAACGCAACTGTTTGTTGTCTACGTTTCGTTGTGTTGATTGGATTGTTGCGGTCGTAAGTCGAATCAAACACACTGAATATCAAAAGAAGAAATAGGGAAATTTCGATATGGTGGAGCAGTACGCAGAATAAGCAAGGAGCAAACGGGGCTGTGGCGTAGCTGAACGGACCCCCCTTGTCGACTGCGAAACGCGGTCACAGACAAGCGAAATACTTGTCGTAATCAATAGATATACGAGCTTACATCGAGGCACATTTTCTAATAATTATCATTAATTACCTACACCCGTTGTTTTCCGCACAGATACATCTGCATACGTGTGTGCGGATTAGAGAACGATCCTGTAGCACAAGTCAAAACTGGCCCAAATTAATAGCATAGGGGCAACTAAACGATGCATAGAAATTCAACTTTTTTGTTTTAGTTCTGGGAAAACAGTCTTTATTCATAGCGACAGTCATAGGACTCAGTTATTTTGGCCCAGTTACTTCATCCTATTTTTTTGTCGCAAACTCAACTCGATGGATAACGGTGCAGGCCGCCGCAGTCCATATCCAATTGAATGTGTAGTTTTTTAATATGGGTAGACCAGGGATCAAATGAACCTAATTATCATAAACGTTACGTTTTTATGAATCAGGTGGACTATGAACGAAGTCATCTCGTTCAAGTACAATCAAGAAATCTGTTCCTTGTAAAAGCTTAACAGATATCGTTATATCCGGGCTAAGTAATTTTAGATCGAACACAGGATACGCTTAGCTATTATATAATATGCCCGCTGTTAATTTAGTCATTGCATTAGCAAAGCGTTGTCATTCTGTAGCGCCCTCTGCTACGTATTACTTTTCTGCCACCATTCAAAATACTCCTACTGATAGGTATGTGCTCCCTAGGCACCACTGCAACGCATAATCAATGTCACGTATTTCATCGTATACAGACACCCCCGGAGAAGTACACAGGCACATTGGTACACACCTCAGGAATAACATTCTAAATCGACATCAGATCGTACCTCCCAAAAATGGCTGCATCGATTCTATCTGCTCGTACAGGCTTTACACGCGCGGAGTCTTCCCAAAAGCCTCAACAGCATATTGCCATTACTACTAACGCTCGAAACGTTTCTTATAATTCTGCTTGCTCACTAGCGCAGTGTGGCGGCAGTACCTACGACACAGAAACAAAGCCTTGGACGACTCCTTCCTGCTGAGAAAATACCAAGAGTTATCTACTACCGAAGAACCTACCAAGCAGATCAGAGGGCAGACTCTCCTTGCTGTGAGTAAGCTACGAGATAGAGAGTACCATGTCTCGCTTGGCCGCGTAGACAAACCATCTGCTTAGGCCTAAGGATGAATACTTGCGATAGCACTAGATCTCTCAGAAGGTCCTGTCGCCCAGTGGGGTGGCCAATAGCAATGGCCGCTAGGTCCACAGGCACATTGCGATGTGGTGTGGTTTGGTGTAGAGGTTTGTGAATGCTTTGTGTTGGCGCTGCTTGCTGTGACAGGTATCTCCTTTACCGAACAATGTCTGCTTGGAGGCGCTTCTGCGCGATGCGCCAAAAGAGAGCGGAGCGGCAAGTCTCGGTAAAAATTCACCGAGTTGAAAATTCCGATGATTCAAGCGGGTCTACAGCTGAGCACTATCAGGCATCGACACAACGAGGCAAACGTACATCTATGTACAAAATGGCCGCAAAAAGGCTGACAACTCCATTATTCTGCCGAAGGGCTAGGTCAGTGATCGGGCATAGTAGGTATATTTGAGTGGAGTACGAACGAATATTTGCTGTTGGCTGTCTGTTGAAAATGCTTGACTTCTCAATACTTCTATCTGACTTTTGCAATAATAATAATAGAAAATGTTATTCCTTATTGTCTGGATCTGCTCTTCATTAGACAGAAATACTTAAATGAATCGATTAAGGATATCACCGAGGGCCGTAGCGGGGTAGAGAGCCGCAGAGCAATGGAGTGAGGGTTGGATCGCTCAAGTACATGTTTATACAATGCAATCATAATCTCAAGGACAGTTATAATAGTAATACAATATAATTAATTACAAATATTGTCACAATTATGATATTAGGCAACGATAAACTTAAATTTGCACTAGCCCAGTATTTGAATATTTTATCCTTTTCATATT